GCTGACTCAGTGCTCCCAAGTGAAACAGCACAATTTTAAGTACAGCTCATCCATGCTGAGGCATATGTATAAATGCAATCACAGAAGTGGAGCACTCCTCCTGCGTGCCATCTCGCTGCCATCTTGCACTTTCCCCATTCATTAGTGATTATCAAAACTATGACAAATCATAGGTTTATGTTCTTGGCACCTCAATAACTACTCAAGAATCTAGAACACTTTCCAGGGAAACAGACAGAAATAAGTAGCCCATCTATTCACTGACAACGAAGACTTCTGACCAAAAAAAAAAAAAAAAAAAAAAAAAAAATCTGCTATTTGTAGAGAAATGTAATCGCTGGGTGAAGAACAAATTATTGAAAATGTATGGGGTGACCATATAACAAAATAAATTACCAAATAACCTATCTGCAATGTTACAGAAATCTGTCATGCATGGCTAGCAAAAAAGGAGTAACCATTAAGGTGCTGATTCTTAAAAATAGCAATTTTGTAATTATCAGTATCAAACCATTAGTAAGACTCTGTAGGTGATATCTTGCCCATATGGGTGTCCAGTTAAAAACGCTGTATTCTTTTATCTGCAAACATACAATTCCTTCAGCACAAATAATTTCAAGTCAGAAGAAAGACACTGAGAATGTTGAATATAGTTCTAAGTGCTACTTTGCAGGACTGAAATTACTTGAGACTAGGTTGACAACCTGGAGGAGAGCAAGGTTACCCACAACCAAATATGAAGTCATTGACTGTCGTATCTAGGACTTTACGGCATAATGCACGTTCATTATGGGCTGATAATCCCACTTCAAATGAATATAAAGTATGCATTCAGGTAACTGCTCATGGAGTACTCTTTTGCAAAACAAACTCACAGTAACAGAATTATTATTTCACTCCAAATTGCCAGTATTTCCACATAACTAAAAAAAAAAATACGTGTTCGGTTCCATTTAGTGATAAGTGAAACAAGGACACATTAACAGTAAATTTAAGGTGTGTTATACCATCACAGTTCTTGTGAGCTTTCTGAAACGTTAAATAGTACATGGCTCATTTCCTTACTCTGAGTAATGGCTTGATCTTACCAGATGAGAAGTAATTCCTGAATTAGTTTAGATGACCTTTAAGGTCTCTCCCATCTCTGGCAATGTTAGATTCCACTTAGTTATGTAAATCTGAGTACTTTGTAACTTACTCCTGGGAACGTATTAAACTCAGGTCCTGAGAACACCATTTTTGCATTAAGGTGATGTCACAAAACTGCTAAATAGTACTCAAGTAGCCTTGAGTACTTGAGGGAGTTTGTCATTTAAGAAAAACTCATATAGTATTTAAAATATACCCAGCATTGTTCTAAGTGCTTTATAAATATTAATTCATTTATACAGTATTTTCAGTCTACTTAGAAAATAAGTTCTTATGAAGCTTAATCAGTAGGTGAATTGGCATTTACCTACAGACTAAAATAAACAAACCCATTCACTTACTCTTTGAAATTAAAACTACTCATTTCTAACAAGTAAGGTTATCCCACAAAAACAAAAATCTAGTATATTAACTCTCCTTCTGAAATCCTTAGATTGCCTTTAGGACAAATGTCAATTTCCTCAGCAAATCATGAAGGGGGTGCCGCATCTCTGCTTTCCGGTTTTGTCTCATGTCTCCCCTAAACCCTAACTTTCCAGCTACCAAAATGTGTCCTGACTCCCACGTGCCTATGTATTTGCCACCCCTCGGCTGTGATATTCCAGTCCTCTCCCTTTAATCTGGCCAATTCCTACGCGCTCTCAAAACGCAGCTCACACAGCACCTCCCCTCCGAGAGTCCATCCTGGCCTTTCGCCTGGGTTCAATAACAGGTCTTCTCTGCTTCCACAGCCTTCTGTGATCACCTCCAGAAAACCACACAGACGGGCACAATGTAACTGCTTCTTCACCCATCCATCGTCCCACTTGTCTGTAAATCCCTTAAAAGCTAAAACTGTGTCTTTTCTCTTTTCAATCCCCAGGGCCTTGCACACAAATTGGTACACAGAAGCAGCTCAAGTAAATATAAGCCATTAGCTCTGACTGGTGTGGCTCGGTGGGTTGGGTGTTGTTCCCTAAACCAAAAGGTCACCAAGAGTCCCCATCAGGGTATGTGCCTGGGTTGTGTGCCAGGTCCCCAGTCGGGAGTGTGTGACAGGCAACTGATTGATAGAAGTTGTTTCTCTTGCACATAAATGTTTCTTTCCCCCTCTTTTTCCCACTCTTCCCCTCTCCCTAAAAATAAATAAAATCTTTTTTTTTAAAGCCTTTAAATAAACCAACAAATGAGTATATGGTTTGTTAGGTGACAGAAAATCATCCTACTTTTATTTCTGAAGTAGAAAGAAATTTGCTAAGACTATCTATGGGTAACTAAGGTGTCATAAATTATATCTATTGAATTACCAAAGAAATAACAAGGGCCAGATAGAGGGGTGGGAAAGAGTAGGTTTACAGTTGTAATACAAATAATACAATCGTTAAATAATACAAGAATATAAACTATGTGTTTGGCATACTTACAGCTGTAAACCTACTTTTGCCCACCCCTGTACAATCAATATACGTTTTCAGGTCAAATTACAGCTCCTGAGGAAACTAGAAATGCCAAAATACAGAGGAAATCCTTAGTTTCCTAACTGTAGGAAAAGTTAGCATATGGCAGTAGGTCTTCACAATTCTGCCAGAGTCAGTCCTCATATCAATGATTTCTAACTACAGTTTAAGGAGCACAGTAAGCTGCAAGGCTCCCCAGGAGAACCAGACATCCAACCAGATACACTGTGTGTACTTCACTATGTGCCAGGCACTGAGGCGATTTCCTGTAATAATTACTTCAATGACAAGACAGTATCTTCACTTTCATTTCTGCCTTGAATAAATAATCAATTCATGCTGTTTAACCTAAATCCTACACATTCATTCACACCTCACCCAAAGCCAGAGCCATTCTTCTCAATTGTGAGGTTTATTGCTGTAGAAAACAAATTGCAGGGGCCCAAGGTGTCTTCTACTCCAAGTGGAGACGCCCAAAAACCAAAGGACTGCAAAAGCGGAGCTCCATAAATGAGGAGAAAAGGAGGAGGACTGGCCTGTTTTCCCAAAGTGGTGATCTTTCACAAACACAGAGAATGGCAGAGGTCCCCGCAGACATTACTAGTATGAGGCAGAGAATCAGCATTTCCAGACTCAATCCTACGGTTTTCCTTCTCTGCATCTCTACTTCCTTCTGTCTTGCTTCCTCTCCGAGAAAGTCTTTGGATTTTTTTTTAAAGCACTGGCTATATCAGCAACAATTCACACTGTGGGAAACTCTACAGGATAAAAGACCCCATGTCTTCAGTGAGTAAATTGCAAGGAAAAACAAAGAAATAGAGGAAACTTTGCATTAAAGAGACTTAAAAAACAAACAAACAAAAATCCCACTAATTACAGTCAAAAGACATTATCTGGTTCCTGAATCAAATAAACATAAATACATATGTATTATATTTACATATATTTACATATACTTACATATCTTAACATATTTATATACTGAATATATTTACATATTAGACATAATATGGTTACATTTTTTAGAGAATCTATATCTTTTAGAGATGCATAGTGAAATAATTTTAAATAAAATAACATGATTTGATTCCAAATAATATAGCAAAGGGAAGTAACTAGGTAGGATATAGGTACAAGATTGGTAACTGAGTTGATTAATTGCTAATTAATATGAGTTGCTAATTGTGGAAGCTTGGGGCTCACTACAATATTCTACTTCTGCATGGGTTTGAAATTTATTCCTCCATAGGAATAATTATAATGTATTGAAAAATAAGTACCCCTGCTTTTTCAGTTTTACTATGGAAACAAGTTAAAATGAAAAAGGAAAATAGTTATTTACCAAACATTAACTCAAATAATGGAATCTTTCATTAAAGGCTTGCCATATTAGGTTTCTTTCTACAATAATCTAACTTTCATGACTATTACTACAGTTCTTTAAACTAATTCCTCATTTATATTAAAATTTTAACATTGGTCTACAAATACAAATTTAAATAGTATTTTTCTATTTTTTACATATTTTTCATGTACAGATAAATTATAAGTTTGCTTCAGTTAAGTTTACAAATTTTCAACTACATGAACGAGTTCTATCTTAATATGCACTTACGAGTAGGTGAACTGGTTGCCAGACTGATGTATATAAATTCAAAAAAGTTTACAGAGCCCGAAATATTTACTGAAATTAACCAGTAAATTCAAAATAATTTTCAGGCATACCTGTGAATGTGTGATATTGATCTAAATACTAGTAACTGATAAAACTTAGATTTTTAAAAAACATAATTTACAAATACCCAGTAAATAACATGGCCCTAGTTACACCAGGCTGCTACCAACGAAGAAAGAGGGGAAGGGGATGCCTTTTCTGGAAAGTGGAGGTGAACGAGAACATCTCTGGTGCCCACATATTGGGTTGATAACCTTGCAATTTCGCTTATTTTTATGGTTTGAGTTTAGTTAAGGATGTCTAGGTTTGTTTTTCCAAATTTTTAATAGTACTGATTGTGGTTTAAATCATTTATAAAGTCTTCTCTTTGAGCATTACAATAACCACAACAATAAAGACGCAAATTCTGCCTGGATGTTAAGATCCCTTCTTGCCCAAGCATGGACTTGCTTTTACTTGAGAGAGGTGAGAGGGTGTCCACCCTTTTGCTCAGTTGTCGCTCTGCTGGAGGCATCCTACACAAACTCCTCTCAAGCAAAGTCCCTGGCCTGTAACTGTTTGGAGGTTTTGTCCCCCTTTCCGTTCTTCTTTTTGCACAGGGAGCGCCCTGCAGGACTAGCATTAGGATTACGCTCATTTCACCTAAGACACTGCATCTCCAGGGCAACCGAAAGCAAACGCGGAGTGGCGGGTGGGCAGGGCCGCGCAGAGGACCACCCTCTCCGGACCGCGCCTCTCACCTGAGCGCCGCCAGGGTCGCCCCGCACCCGTGTGTTCAGCGCGTCGTGCCCAGTTTCATCTTCGCCGCCAGAGCGGTAGATGAGCCGGAGTGGCACGATGCTCTGGCGCTCCAGGAAGCGGTTTTCGTTCCTCCTCTCCGACTCCGTCAACGAGGCGTCTCCTCCAGGCAGGAAGGGAAGAAGGAGGGTATGGGGAGAAAAGCCGAAAATAATGACCCTGACTCACACTACTCAGTCCTGCGGCGAGACCCCTCCCCTCTGAAAATTCCACCGCCCCCTCCCTCCCGGACCCCAGCTGGGAAGGACGCAGACACCAGCCGGAGAGCTTTGGACCAGCTCCTCTCAGAGCATCCAGGATCGGGGCCCAGAAGCAGAGCACCCCTTTCCCATCCTCTGCATGTCTCTTCTTCAAAAGAAAAACAGGCATTTGACCGAATGCTTCTAATGCATCCGCGCGCCCCCACACGTATTTTTGCTCCACTTCTCACCACCCTTCCAAATAAAAAATCTCCCCGCGCACTCGGAAATGGGGATGCTCCTTTGCCGTGCGCTTGAGGGCTGCAGAGATTCCCGGCAAATGGTGTGTCCCTAAGCCACAGACGGTGGCGAACTTACCTGCCCGGCCGCAGCGCGCCGGGGGGCAGGTCCCCAGTGCGCAGAGCAGCAGCAAGGGCACGGACGCAGCCGCTCCCCGCATGGTGCTCCCGTCAGCCCGCCTCGCTGGAAACGCTCAGCTCCTCATGCCCGGGCAGCCGGTCCGGCTCCCTCGTCCGGCGCCCCCCGGTTTGCCTGGGCCGCCCCTTCCCAGCCCCGGCCGGTGCTGCAGCGGCCGTGGCGCTGCAGCCTCCACCGCGGCGCTGCCTCAGTGCTGCATTGTGCTCCGCGGGCGCTTCCGCTGGTGGGGGGGAGCGAGCGAGTGCTGCATTGGGCGGTTGGCTGTAGCTAAGTGGTTTCTAGCGCCTCCCACCTCATCCCTTGGCAAAGGCTCCGGCGGGCGACGAGCGCTCTGCAGGGAGCGAGCGCCTGGTGCACTCGCCCCCAGCGCGCGCGGGCAGGGGCGCGCGCCCCAGAGGCGCTGGGAAATGTAGTTCTCTCTCGCGCCCCGCTCATCTCCACCAAGGCGCGGACTGTCGTAACCGCGAGGTCTTCTACAGCCTGAAGACAAGAGGGAGAAAAAGGGCGCAAGAGAGAGGTCATCTCTGGAAGGCCTCTTGGCACCGAGGATATCCAACCACGCGGCTGCGGGAGCTGGTCTTCATCCACTTCGTCCACGAAGAACTGTATTAATGTTTTCTACAAATTTAATAGTTAATTATTATCAGGGAATTATATCCTCAAGGGTACATGGTAAGTTAATCACTAAACAAGTGTTGATTGAGGACTTACTATGTGCCCGGCAGTTAACTAAGCACAGAGGACACAACTGTGAACGACACTGGTGAAAGAGGCACCTGCTCTTGGGCACAGTTGAGTAAACACATTGAGTAAATACAATGCACTGTGAATAGTGTCCTGGTAATGCTAGAGGAGGGTCATTACCTCGGCCAGGGGGAGGCAGGGAGAGCCTCCTGAAGAAGGTCTACACAGGCGCTTGAAGGATGTGTTGGATTTAGCTCAGCTCTCCAGGGTGTCTTATCCTTTCTCTAGTATCTGTCTGTTTCAAGCCTATATTTGAAAACCGGACTTGGGAAGCTACTTCTCAGCTGCTTATGCCATTTTTCTTTTTAATTCCAAATGTTAGAAACTCTTGAGAATAAGACAGTAACAAAATAATTGTCAATACAATTAACCCTTGTGTGGTAAGACTGCATAATTTTTCAGCGGTCACATATATAGTCATGTTAATCTTAGGTCAACAACTTGATAAGTATTATCATTCCCATATCAGAGAGGAGGAAATAAAGGCTTAGGGCCGTGCCTTTCAAACACTGTAGGCACTAGCCACATCTAGCTATTTAAATTTAAATTAATTAAAAGTTAAAAATCAGTTCCTAAATTGCACTAGTCACATTTCAAGGGCTGAATAACATACATGTACTGAGTGGCTACTGTTCTGTACAGCAAAAACATGGAACATTTCTGTTGTTGCAGAAAGTTCTATTGAAAAACACTGGATTTAAGAATGTAAATGACTCCCCAAGGTCACATGGCTAGTCATAGAGTAGTCTGGTTCTGCGTTCAGATCTGGATCTTTTCCCACATTACCCTGGTTGAACCTGTGCTTGTGTAACCTCAGTCCTGGTTCTTGTCCTGTGAAACATGCAGAAGAATCTTCCACATAATGTCCTTTGGAGATATTTTCTCCTTCACTAGAGGAATTTTCTTTTTTTTAACTCCTGCCCCATGTGACAGTGTTTCAGATTCCCTCACCATGATGATGATTTGAAAATACACTCCAGTATGCCATGCCCCAACTGAAGCGTGGTATCTAGAATTAAATACAAACTTGATTTAGTTTCACAAGCAAATAGTAGAAAGGGACTCTTCTCCCTTGGCCTAAATTCTTGCTTGTGATAACATTTTATCATATTTGGGTAGCTACGTCTCACTGAGCTTATTGTCATTTAAAAGAAATTCCCTTAAATCTCCAAATAATGAGATACTTAAGAATTCTACATATGCCATGCGATTGTAGCCTGACTAAGGGCTACAAGTTTTCAATAGTACCCTTTATACCTTGATGCAGAAAATTCCATAATAGTTACTTTGAATGAGAACTAGAACTAAGGCCTGGAAAAGCTTTTTACTTTAATCTCCTACATCGCAGACCCAAATTTTTACCTGGTTCTCTTAGTTGGAAAAAATAATTTTACAAGATTTGTAAATATTGTGCTGCTCTAAGTATAAACCATATGTATATTTTTATTTAAATGTCTTTTGCTATCATAAATAAGCATGGCCTCCCTGTATGTGTGTTGTGAGCATTTCCTAAGGTAAGTAGCAGAATGCAGAATTGCTTGGTTCATAGAGTTTGCACACTTTTTTTAATGTAGTAGATACTTGCCTTTAAACCACTCCATCTCCTTGGCACAGACTGGACCTTATGAGAGGCAAGGAGATGTCTCTGAGCACACAGTTTCTCCAAGGTATTGGTGGTGGTGGGTCGGGGCAGAGATAAGTGTGTCTCTGTGGCACTTCAGAACAAAGCACCCCAGCCTATAGGGACAGAATCTCCTTTGAATCTCTGTGAAGTAGTGTGCTTCTGACCACATCTTAACTAATAAATATATATATATCTTAACTACCATCTATATTTGTGTTTTTGATGTTTTTGTCATTGTTTTCATTTGATTCCCGTCATCTAGTTAATTAATACATCCATCACCTCATATTTATCTTTTTTTCAGGGGGATGAGAACATTGAAGTTCTACTCTGTAAATTTTAGTTATATCATACAGAGTTATCAACTGTCATCACTATGTTTCACATTAAAGTCTCAGACTTTATTCATCTTATAGCTGGAGGTTTGTTCCCTTTTACCATGCCCTGTTTCCTTCACCCCCAGCCCCTGACAACCACTTTCCTACTTTGTTCCTATGAGTTTGATTTTTTCGTTTTTTTAGATTCCACATGTAAGTGACACTATACACTATTTGTCTTACTCTGTTTGGCTATTTCACTTAGTATAATGCCCTCAAGATCCGTCATGTTGCTATAAATGGCAGGATTTCCTTCTGTCTTATAGCTAAATATATTCCATTATATATTAATATACATGTGTATATATATGATGAGCATATTACACTTGTGTATATATACATACATGTATATATGTGTATATATAATATACACCTATATATGAATATGTATATGACATCTTGTTTATCCATGCATCTGTTGATGGACACTTAGGTTTTTTCCATAGCTTGACTATTGTGAGCAGTGCTGCCATAAACATGGGAATGCAGCAGTGCTGGGGGAAGCTCCCTACCCCTAGCCCCACCACTCTTAACACCAGGAATGAGGAGTTAGAGAGTTAAGGAGAAACTAAGTCGTGGGTTTTGACCCACTGAGAATAACCCTGATCCGTAGGGCTATTACTGTACCACCGGATTCTGAATTCACAGACCAAACCCAAGCCCATTCTAATGTCATCATTAAGCCAGGCAAATGTGCATTGTCAGCATATCTGTTTGTTTTTGTAGATTTTATTAAAAATGATTGTAAAATAGCCACTTAGACGCTTTACCTCTTTAGCATGCAAATGTAAATAAGTTATAATATAGGAAATCTTTTGTTTAAATATAAGAATGGGACTGTCCAATTTCTGCTGTCCATTATCCAGGTTTTATTCACAGAGCTTAAAAAAACAAAAGAAAAAAATATGTATGCCTTCTTTGGAAAAAATGTGTATTTAGTTCCTCTGCCCATTTTTTAATCAGATTGCTTGGTATTTTGCTGTTGAGCTGTATGAAGTTTTTTAAAAAATGTATTTTGGGCATTAACCTCTTATCACATATATGATTTGCAAATATTTTCTCCCATTTAGTAGGTTGTCTTTTTATTCTGCTGATGGTTTCTTTGCTGTGTAGGAACTTTTTAGTCTGATATAGTCCCAATTGTTTATTTTTGCTTTTGTTCCCTTTGTTTTTGGTATTAAATTCAAAAAATCATCACCAACTGATGTCAAGGAGCTTACCCCCTATGTTTTCTGGTATCAGGTCTTATGTTCAAGTTTTATGAGTTTCAGGTTTCAGCTTTATGGCTTCAGGTCTTCAAGTCTTTAATCCACTTTGAGTTGACTTTTCTGTATGGTACAAGATAGGTGTCCAGATTTATTCTTTTACATGTGCCTCTCCTGTTTTCCCAACACTATTTAATGAAGAGCCTGTTCCTTTCCTACTGTATACTCTTGGCCCTTTTGTCATAAATTAATTGACCATATATGCATGAGTTTATTTCTGGGTCTCTATTCTGTTCCATTAATCTATGTGTCTGTCTCATGTCAATACCATATTGTTTTGATATTATCACTTTATAATATAGTTTAATATCAGGTCATTTGATATCCCCAGCTCTTCTTTCTCAAAATTGCTTTGGAAATTTTGGGGGTTTTTTTGTGGTTCCATACAAATTTTAGGATCATTTGTTCAATTTTTATGAAAAATGCCATTGGAATTTTGACAAAGGTTGAATCTGTAGATAGCTTTGGGTAGTATGAACATTTTAACAATATTAATTCTTCCAATCCATGAGCATGGAATGTATTTCTATTTATTTTTGTGTTCAATCTTTTTCATCATGTCTTATAGTTTTTGGTGTACAAGTCTTTTGCCTTATTGGTTAATTTTTTCCTAGGTATTTTATTCTTTTTGATACAATAGTAGGTGGGATTGTTCTTTTAAATTTCTATTTCTGATAGTTCATTATTAGTGTATAGAAACACAACTTATTTATGCATATTGATTTTGTATCCTCCAATTTTACTGAGTTTGTTTCTTAGTTCTAGCAGTTTTTTTGGTGGAATATATGTATGTGTGTGTGTGTATATGTATATATATATATATACACATATACACACACATACATATATATATACACACATACATATATATATATATATATATATATATATATATATATACTTATCACATGTACAGAAGCCAGATGCACATAGTTTTAATAATTGGCAAGGTTGAGGAGAAGTCCTGATTCTCAGAGAGTTGTGGAATTGGTTAAGAGAACACAGTTCCTTTAGGAGCAAAATAGATAAACAACCAACAAGAGAATTACTAAATAAGTCCCATTAAAATAAATCAGCCTCTGGAGGCTGAAAGCACTTGCTCCCATAAAAAGTCATGAACTCTTGTTTGGTTTCCAGACTTTAGTCAGGTTTTCAACCCAGATACCATGAACTAAAGAAAAGGCCACATCCCCAGGAGAA